TGAAGTGCTTTGTCTTTTCTCTCATTTCACTTCACTTCAAGATCAAACCTATCTAAGGTGCTTTCAGTATCATGCTTTCTTCCTCTTGGAGCCTTGCTAATGGAGTTCAAGATCTGATAGAGTGACTTTGTAATCGTGAGTATGATTTGGTTCTATATTCTCATGAAATGGAATTTTGGATTCGAGGGTGAAATCCCTGTACTAAAAGTGTTGATTGGATTTGATCGGATTTTATGCATGACTGAGTTATTATTCTTTCATTGCCTTGCTTTCACAGTTGAATCATCCCGAATGTTATATTCTGGAATTATTGTCAGCGTGAGATGCGTACATGCTACTTTTATGACGATTTCTGAGATGGAAAAATATTTTACTTAGTTTATTTCAAAATGTGAGAAATTTAGGATAAAAAAGATTTTGTTGTGGCAATGATAGGAAACAAAATCCTTGAAGTTACAACAAAGATGAGACAGAAAAATAGGAGAAAATATCTATTGATACGTGCAAAAGTTTAAACTGCAATTCCTTATATAATGTTTTCGAGTTTGTTCTTTTTGGACATATTTATAGTAAGTATTCTTTTTACAATGATTTTTTGTTTTTACAGAAGATGGTTTCTTAGTAATAAAGGAAAAAAAAACCAATCTAATAGTCATCCTTGGACTAAAAAAATTGTTTATAATATTTTATTTGTACACATAATATTATAACTCTTAAAATAATAACAACAAATTAGAATGTGTCTAGGAAAACATGGGTGTACAATTCCTCTGTTCTTTTTCTTTATATTAAAAAATAATTTAAGGAATTATTAAACTTTATAATTAAAAATTATAAGAAAATTTTTTAAAATATATTTAAATTATTTTTTATGCTTGTTTGATGTAAAATATTGAAAAATAAAAAATAAATGGATAATTTTAAAATATCATTATATACACTAAATGAGAATCTTTTTCAAATATGTTGTTATAAATTATTCGAGAAGATACATATGTTGAAACTATTACAAGGTTTGTGACTCTTTTTTCAAAAACTTGTATTAAAAATTAATATAATCATTATTATATTTTTAAAAATATTTACATAATTATGTTTAAATATTATAATTATTTATAGTTATAAATATAATATTTAAATAAAGAGTTTCAAAATAAAAAAATAATTAATCAATTTTATTGTAACATATAAAATATTTAATTATAAATAAACCTGTGAATATTAAAATTTATAATAATAATAATTAAATTTATGTATATACCATATGTAATGTGTGAGACCCAGAAAATTAACACTGCAATTATCTGTCACATCAAATTAATGTACACCACATCAATGCTTATCCCCTTTGAAAACCCACTCCCTAATCTGATACATCACTCTGCTGTGCACTAAAAACCGTACCACATCATTCATCTGTATCATTAAAAACGCACTTTGCACCGCATGCACGTACGCCACGTGTCACGAGAGAAGTTTCCAAAGTCAGAGTGGGTGTGCAGGTGTCGGCAGAGGAGACGTTCGTCCAAACGAACGTGGATTTAACAAAACTGAGTTTTTGGAAAAACTCTCTCTCACCTGCACGCACTCATCTTCTACCTCTGAACTCAACCCTTCATTTTCTCCACCTTCTCTCTAGAACTCCCAACTTCTCTCTACTGTAATTCTCACGATTCACCTCCGATCACGTTTCAGCACCGTAGGAGCGTTCGCTGAGCTGAGAGCTACACATTGGACCGAACAGTTTCAAGAACGGAAACTGGTAAGTTCTTCTCCAGTAGCTCGTCCTTAGGTTTTCTGGAAACTAGGCTTTTGGCTGCATGCAAACGAGTAGTCTAAAGGATTTCATGTTTCTGTGGTTAGATTTGTTTTAAGAAGAGCCAAGAGGCATTGAGGGTAGAATAATGTTAGTTGGACGAAAGCAAAATCTTGTGTTAGGAAGTTTCCTGCATTGATCCGGGTAAGGGAAGCTTATATATTTAATTTATACTTGTATGATTATATGAAAGCATGATATGGATTGACTGTATGAAATATATATGTATATGTATTGATTTGTATGTATGAACGAACCCTGTTGTACTGAATGAATGTGATTTCTGATTTGGTTGTAGTGCATGTTGATTTTGATACGTATGAAAGATGGAGGAGTAGTGTATAGTTGGATTTGATGATATGAATGAATTCTATAAAGTATGTAAATTAATGTGGATATGATTTTATAAAGTATGAATCGTATGAAAAATGTCAAAGTTAAGATAGTTGAAAAATCTGGATATGATAATTTCCTTATGATAAATTACGCTCGTCATCGTACGGTCTTATACTGTTCGGTTTCCCTAAAAAGACTTAAAGTATAATTCTTTCATTTGGGAAGAATTCGGTTTGAGAACGAGCGTCCTCATTTGAATTACTATGTTTGAGCGTTCGGCTCAGCATAGAGATGTCGTACGCCTTAAATTAAAGAATACTGACGATCGGTCTTATACCGAACGTTCGTCCTGAGTAGCGCTCGGTCTTCTACCAAGCGTTCGTCACAATTGATGCTCGGTTATCTACCAAGCGTTCGTTCAAGTATTAAAATATTCATCTTCTTACGTTCGTTCACATACTAGTATCGGTCTTTCATATGCAAAATTCTTCAAGGAAAATTTCTAAGTATTATTGACCATCCTTCTTATATTAAATCTGGTCCAAGATCTTTATTATGAAATTTTTTTAAGTATCAGTACACCTTCAATTGAGTCAGTTCATTTAACTGACCAAATAGAAAGTCACGTTCGTCCATCCAGTGCCTTATTTGGACGTTCGTCCTAATCCTTCAAAGGACTGAACGTTCGTCCTTTTATGCTCTTAAAGTTAAAGATGAGAATGATAATAAATTATAAGAAATTACAGTGCGAACACTACATTGATTGATTTTATGATGATGGATTTTGGACGAGCGTTCCAGGGAGGAACGTCTCAGATATGTTAAATATTAAATTTGGTAAAGTATGATTGTGGATAAGTTAAGACTCACTGTCCATCCTGATGTTCCGTGATACTCTTCTTCACGTAGAAGAGGGTAGTTCATGTGTGGGAACGACAGGAGGTCCTTAGTCCATAAGTTAACATGGGCGACGTAAGAACGGACTAACCTCGAGTGGCAGCTGTTTAGAGTGTATCAGTTACTACATCACTCGGGTGCAAGGACGCTTGTAACTACACAGATCATACAGTCCGGACGGTCGTCTTATATATATATATTTATAGATGTTACATGATGTTATATGTTAAACTATGTGCTTGTGTGGAATGATATGTTCATTGTATGTGTTGTTTGTATGAATTAAATTATATAAGCTTACCCTTTCGTTTTTCCTTGTGTTGTCCATTTGTCTATGTACGTTCGTCCTGTCTTGCAATGATCATCCGTGTGGATGTGAGCAGAAGGCGAGACAACTCTGGAAGACGTTATCGAGGAGGAAAACTTAGTTGAAGTGGAAGTGAAAGCGGAGTAGTAGGACGTCCGTCTTTTCTTTCTAGTTTAGGACGTCCGCTTTTGGTTTATACGTTCGGTTATTTTATTTTGTAAAACCGTTCGTTATTAGCTTTCACTGATTTCGTTTTGTATATTGTAATTCTGCACCTTAAGACGTTCGGCTTTTGAACTCTGTTAATTATAAAGACTGCAGTGTTTACTGTTAATGGTAATTAATTCTGATTTATGGTAATTACTGTATTTTGGGATGTTACATAATGTTTTTGTAATGTTGAAATAAATGGTTAAATATACAAAATATTTGTTCTAATTAGAAATTATATATTCTTCAAGATTTAGTAGTTGAGATTTAGTAGTTATTGTATGTTGAATGTAATATTTGGTATGATGGTTATAGAATTAAAATTTACAATTGAGTTATACATTATATTAAAATTAAATGTGTATGTATGAATCGTTGTTAAACTAAAACACATTTTAAGCTTTTATGAACATAGTCATATTTAATTTTAATGCTCTATTTTTATGCTAATTTTTAAAATTTATTATTAATTGTAATTAATTTAATACTAAAATGTAAATTATTATTTAATATATTAATAAATATTTTAAATCTACACGCGCGCACACATATATATATATATATATATTATTGTAGAAATAAAAATTGATTAAACAATTTTTTATTATTTTTATATTAAGGTGATTACATAATTATCTAGTTCTTATAAATTTAAATATTTTTATCATTTTAACTATTTTGGTTACGATTTTACATTTTTAGTGTTAAATTAACTATTATTTTCTTAATACCAACACATTTTTAAATAGTTACAATTTAATAATTTAATAATAAACAATAATTAATACAAGAACTAAAATTACACATATTACCGTTTGTAATAAAAAACAATAATACAAACCTAAATATGTTTTAAAGTAAAAGGTAATTATTTTATTCCAAAGGAATTTGAATTCTAATTTGGTAGTAAAATATTCAATTAATTAATACAAACCTAAATTATCTTAAATTCTTATATTTCTTTAAATGCACACGTAATGTAATTTTTTTGTCTTAGTATTATATAAAAATCCAATTATAATTTTTATTTTAATGTAAGTGTTGTAAAATCATGTTTTAATATTTTTTGAACAAATTTTAGAAAAGTTGCTTTTAAAACACATAATTTACACTAAAATTTTAGATCTTAAATTTTATTTATATTATAGCACTACAGTCTCAATGAAAAAATTTATAGAACTCAAATTTAAAACTTATAATCTACTACCATAATTTATTATAATTTTTAAACCAAGATCAGTTTTATTTTATAATTTTGAAAAGCTGATTAAAACTGAGAAAACATTTTACTCTTACTTATGTTTATCACTATATCGGACTGTTAGCATTTGGGGTTACAGGTGTGCCTCAGTTTTCATGTCTGCATAGGATTCTTTCTCAAAAAGAAGCGGGAAACTTTGTCCAAACACAAAACCCCCAATCAAAACACTCTTTTCTTTCTTTCTCTTCCCGCTTCTCTCTCTCTCTCTTCCTCCAAACCAGCACCACATTGCATTGCACGCAGAGATCCGAATCTGGATCCATGGCTGAGTGTGAATTTGAACTCGATCTTGAAGAGAAATCATGGCATCTCTTTGCACTCCTTCTCCGAATTGGCCACGCAGTCTATCCGTCACGTCTCGCCGCAGAGTGTCGTTTATTTGCTGCATCGCCGGACTTTGTCTGCTACGTCAGTTCTCTTCCTGGTTCACCCCTCTCTGTTACTGACAATGGACTAGTCACACCCTCTGTTAGTGCGGTTTTTGCACTTGGAAGCTTCTTCTCTGTCCGTCTCTCCCCTGAACGGCAAAAGCATTGTTTTAGGAAACGCAAGTTGTTGTTCGACTCGGCGAAAGGTATATTTCTCTAAATGTTTTTCAATTAAGATTTTGATTTACTGTTTTTTATGATTAATTTGATTTGATTGAAATTTTGGTGATAGCAGATGGAATAGAACACAAAAGGTTAGCAATTGGAAATGGAATTCGGGAAATATCTTTCCAGGTATTTCATTCTCATTCTTATTTCATTTTGTGTGCGAGAAATCTTTTTGCTTGAAAGTAATTTTGAAGTGGTTTGAATTATGTTGATTCTACCAACAAATTAGTACTGCATCTAATAAGGTGAACATTATAAAAAAATAGCAAATACCTTGTATTTATTTTAATGACAAATTTGATAGTTTCAAGTTTTGTTGCTGTTTGTTGACTGTTATATGCACTTGGGACAAGTTATTTTGATTGACTGTTATGTGCCTGTGATATATGAGAGTAGCTTGATCAAGCATGGGATTCATTTATAGGAGGCATAATAATCAGTTGAAGAAAGCAGGGATACCACCATTTAGGCTGGGGGGTCAATGATTACCGGGTTTGCCTTTGTATAATAGATTGTCAAAATTGTTGTTTGACAATCTAAAAATCACATTAGGTTGTATTTCAGTGAAAACTTAGAGGCTCTTATACGAATCTAAAGGCACTAATGCTTCTGCTTGGTCGTACCCACGTGGAATGATAATTTTGATTTCATTTTCTTGCATTTTGAACTATTATTATATAGTCAGGAGAATAAAATAGAAATAGAACCTGTGTTTAGGTCATAATTTGTAATATTGATTTTTGTTTAAAATTTATTTCGAAGTAATGTAATTTATGCATGATAGCTACATAAAATTGTTTTAACTCCAAAATCAAACAGGCTAACATTTTTTAATCAAATTAGGTTAAGTGATATTGTAATGTTATTTGAGATGTTCTGGCATTAGTATTGTTGGTAAATTTCAGTTTTTGTGTATATATATTGGTTCTCTTTAGACTTGTTGCGGGCATGTATGTACATAGAGTTTGTTTGAATGATAAATTATACATGGTTAATGTACTTTAGCTAGTGTGTCTTTGAAATTTAACAGGGACACTCATTTTCTTGCATTTAGGATGCATTAGATTCAGATGGAAAATAAAACTATAAAAATAAATGCTTGTTATTAATTAGTATATTAATATTAACGAAGAAGTAAATATCAATTTCTTAGTTTATAGTTTGGATACCTTTCGTCTTTTATGAAAAAAAAAATCAATTGAAAGATTAAATATCATAATAATCAGAGAAGTCTTTTTTTCATTTTAATAGAAAAAGTATTTTATATTAATTATAGTCTATTTCTCATTAGTTATTATAAGTAAGTAATAGTAACTACATAGTTGTTCTTTAAAAAGATTCATCTTTAATCATTCTTATGGAGTGATATATCTTTTATTTAGCAAAATCATTGTATTTCTTGCTGAGTGCTGAATTTGGTCTCAATCTCTGGAATTTTTCATTTGTGTGCAGAGTTGTGCTGATGCTGCAGAGGCTCTGATGAGAAGAAACTTCCCTATAATAAAATTTGAATCACAGAATATAGGTAGTGGGAATTTTATATTCCCCTTGCGTGTTGATAAAAATGAAAAATGTTCAGGTTATCTGATGCCAAATTTTAAACATAGGCATGATGTCAGCCCAACCATGTCTAATGAAGAGGTTTCTAAACCAATTATCAAAAACTTAAACAGTCCAAAGCTAGCGGACGTAAATAGATTCATGGCATGTAATCTCCGTGTTGATCGTGCCATGTTAGAACCCTCAGTATGCAAGAACGGCATTGATGTTAATAGCTTTGGATTTGGGAAGAAAATGGATTGTTTTGATGCTTTTACGCATGACAGTACTGAACTAAATAGTATTACTCATGTAGCAAGTGGTACGGGTGAAAGTACTGTATGCAAAAATCTACCAGGAAGATCTAATGAAGATGATGAGGTGCAAAGTGGTTCAAAGAAGGGGCTTATTGATACTGGTTCAAATAGAGACAAGGAAGATGTTACTCAGATGGTCAATGCTGTACTCTGTGGAGAAGAATTAACTAATGGTTTGCAACAAAAGAACTCATGCCTTGCAATAAATTTAGAAACAATGGAGGGTGAGAGAAACATAATAACTTATAAAAGAGCTAATTCCTCTTTAAATCCTAAGCGGCCTTTGAAATCTTCTAACACATTAAAGAGGGGACAGAAGAACGGTCTACATCCCAAGTCACAGATTCTTAAAGGGTCACCAGCCAACAACAAATGTAATATTGTTCCACAAAATGTTGATCAATTTAAAAATAATCAGAAACTTGCAACGAGGAAGCAAAATCATAAAGAGAATAAGGCAGAAAATATTCCCGCTACTACTAAGGTATCCTGTAGTTTGACAGCCTGTGCATTTTTGTATCATTTTGACCATTTGATTAGAGGTTCATTGTATTTCTGAATCAGGTGGAGAAAAAAACATATCCATCCTTTGAAGCTTTTACAATAGAGGAAGAAGAAGGTTCAGGTATTTGGCCTCTTTCCTTCCTTTTTGATAAAAAAAAATATTTAAATTGCTGACATTTTTTTTTTCATATAGGTGGTTATGGCACTGTTTACCGTGCTCAAAGAACTACAGATGGAAAACGGGTTGCAATAAAATGTAAATGATACCTATCCTTTATATTAATTATGTGTCTGTGCGTTACGATCAAAAAAGTAAAATGGGGGAAGTGTCCTTTATTTGCAGAATACTAGAAAGTGACGCTACATAATTTTCTTCAATTCAGTTGATGTCTCTTGCGTTCATTTTTCTCACTTATAATAGAAACTGGATGCTATTCTCTTGTATGTAATAATTTCGGTATTACTATACTTATACTAATTTACTATATAATTGGCGTAATGGATTTTAATATATTGATATTGATAGTCCAATATATACGTGTGATTTTACAGGTCCTCATAGTAATGCTCATATAAATCACGTAACTACTGAACGGAATATGCTCGAGCGTTTTGGGTAAGTATAAGACACAAGAGTACAATATTTTTTTTATATTTAAGTCACAATGCTTTCTGTTATTTGTTAATATTTCTTTCTCATGTTACAGTGGTAAAAACTTCATAATAAGATACGAAGGTTCTTTGAAAAATAACAATACCGAATGCTTTGTTTTAGAGCATGTTGAGCACGAGAGACCTGAGGTAATTGCTGAAACTTTGTAAAGTTTATATTTTCTTCGTACATTTTAATTTTTTTCATGAATTTCCCTTTTAACCTTTCCCAACTTTAGGTTGATTAGCTTAGCTCATAGATGTTTTATGTAATTCCTTTTTAATAGAGCTTGTTTTTACTTTTTTAGGTTTTGGAAAAAGATATGCAACATATTGTGTCTTTTTCAATCTTAATTTAATGGGTTCATTCAAATTCTCTAACATGTTCTACATTCATGTTTAATGAAGATAATTTTCCTTCTCAATTTGCAGGTTTTGAAAAAGGAAATTGATTTATTACAGATTCAATGGTACGGTTATTGCCTGTTCAGGGCCCTTTATTGTTTGCACAAAGAGGTATTTTCTCTTTGCACAATTATTATTTATTTGATGTGACTTTAAAAAGGACAGTTAGTATAATTGTTTTGAGAAATTCAAACTCTTTAAAATGTAGGGAGTTGTTCACAGAGACGTTAAACCTGGAAACTTCCTTTTCTCTCGAAAGCAAAGCAGAGGTTACCTTATTGATTTCAACCTAGCCATGGTAGGTGCTTCTCTTTTCACTTCTTGTCAAGAGTATTGACCATGATTCTTTTAATCTTGACACTGATGGAGTTCATATTTTTTCTATAGGATTTGAAGCATAAGAACAAAGTTGGAAGTAAGATTCCTTTTCACTTATCAGTTGCTTATTTTTTGAGCAATAGAATAACTGATTGAATAGTTGGTTTTCTCGTGATACTTGTAATTTTAATAAAATAAAAGATTGCGTGATTAATTGGTTACTTTGTTAGTTAATTTCAAGATTAAAGATGACATACTCTTAGATCATACATAACATTTTTCTTCTTTCCACCACCCAATTATATTTAGATTATATTTTTTATAAGTACTTGTAATAGTATTTTAACTTTTCTCAAGTTAATTTTAATTTTTACAGAAGTTTATCTAAATAAAAATTTTTTTCTTTCAAATATTCTTTGCTAAGTTTTACTGTCTATGTTCTTCATAATATATAATCCGCTTAATTAATTTGCGTATTTCAGGTAAATCAAAACCCAACCTGGTTGCATCATCCCATAATGTTTCTCTTTCTTCTCGTTCTGCTCCTTTGGTCCGAGGCAAGAATCTTGGAGGCAGCAAGTCTTTAACATCCAATAAAAGAGCTTTGGCGGATTATAAGAATTATTCTGAACTTAACAGGCATGTGAAACAAAAGGCTTTTACTGGTCCTCAGAAAAATGGTCCCGACATGGTTGGTGGGAGTTTTTCTAGAGCACAAGGAACAGACGGCTCGGGTATAACTTCTGCTAGAGATGCTAGCACTAGGACTGCTTCTGCAGAGAGGCTCAGGGAACCTTTACCTTCCCACGGAAGAAAGGAGCTTATCAGCTTTGTGAATACTATGAAATATACAAACAACAGTTCAATAATAGGTCCTTCCTCTCAAAGGAAAAGAGTTACTGCTCCCTCAAGCAGAGTAGATAGCAAGATTTTTCATATTACCCCAATGCCTCTGCATTCATCTACAGTTGGTGCGGTATTGAGAAGCAAAGGTATGACTCTAATTACAACCATTTTTCTTTCTGAGGACTGTTATTGGTCCCCTAAGTATATTAACTGTTGATGTGATTTCCAGGAGATGGAAAACAGAAAAAAGAAGGTTCATGTGTTGGAACCAAAGGATTCCGTGCACCGGAGGTAAGATCGTGCTGTCAATTCCGTTGACTTGCATATCTTTTCACCCAATTAGAGGCTCAATTTTATGTTGATCCAAATGTGGATAATATGCTGTCATAGGGAGTGCCATTTTCAGTTGCTTATAGGAAACAAAATATGCAACATAATTAAGTTTGCTTACTTTCGGTATGCTTTGTAATTATGTAAAGCTTTGTTTTTCAGTGAGTTTCAATTAAAGGGTCTATCTTTTCTTCAGGTTTTGTTAAGATCTCAGCATCAGGGACATAAGATTGATATTTGGTCAGCTGGCGTTACTCTACTCTACATGGTGATAGGAAAGACTCCTTTCACTGGCGACCCGGAACAGTAATACTCACTTGTCAAATTCATTTCTTATGATTTGTTTGTTAGTCTTTTCTTGCTAACTGAGTTTTGTTTCAGGAACATAAAAGAAATTGTAAAATTGCGGGGAAGTGAAGAGTTTTGGGAAGTGGCCAAGCTACATGACCGTGAAGTGTCTTTTCCTGAGGTAATGATCTCATATTCCTTGATAGAATTGGAAAATAATAAACTGAATTAATCTTAGTCAATGAAAATATTTATTATTATGTTATTAACTTTTGCTCAAAATATATTTATAAATGAAATATTCTTTTATTTCTTTGAGATTTCAAACACTATTAAATTCTTTAACCACCATCTTTGTATCAGTAGATTATTAGTTAAACTTCATTAGTAAAATTGTACAGTGTGTAGTAGTAAATAAATGTCAAATTAATTCTATGGTAATATTTGAAGATGATCTTGCTTGTCAAAAGTTACTTTAAACTTTAGTATTTTTCTAATCAAATTAGTTTAATAGCTTTGAATTCTGATAACTACAGAGTAAAATTGTTAGCCCCTTTTTATATATAAATATTAACTAAAATGTTTTTCATCTGCATTTGAAGAAAATGTTTCTAGAAATCAAAATATATTTTAGTTAAACAAAATAAAAATTTATATATTACCATGCACATGCTAAAATACTGTAATCTTATGGTAAAGGAAGCAAAATAATTGTGATTGCCTATTACACAACTTAGTTGATAATATTCTCTCTATTGCAGGAGTTACTTGATGAGCGATACTTGCAGTCATGTGACTTGGGAGCCTGGTGCAAAACTCACACAAAGAGACCAGAATTTCTTGAACAGATCCCGAAATCGTTGTTTGATTTGATAGACAAGTGTCTAACAGTTAATCCAAGAAATAGACTTAGTGCTGAAGATGTTTTGAGACATCAATTCTTTGACTCATTAAACGACTCTCTTAGGAAGCAAAGGATGATGCAACGTGCTATCAGATCAGAGGCTGCAGCAGCTTCTGCTGCAATCTAAGACTTGTTTCATAAAGTGTAAGTAGTTGTTTTAACTTCTTTTTACATGAAGGTGGTTTACCCTTAAGAGAATTTCTGTACTTGTTGATGGTTGTATATATTCTCGACATGTTTTTTTTTATTTATTCTTTTATTACTGTAAAGTCCCCATCATCTTATTTAGAGTATTGTCATCCTCTAGTATAGGTTTAGACTATTCTTTATTTATTTTTCTTATTTTTTTTAAAAAAAATTAATCTAAACAAAGTTTAATGTATTTATATGTTTGTTTGTTTTCAAATTATTAAAAAACTGTTTTATTTTTATATTAAATTATAAGTTTGTTTTATTAACGAATTTTTTGGAAGTCATTAAAAACATATTGTAGATTGTAGACTTTATGTATAATTTTTCTTTTTGGTGATATACAATTGACGATAAATTATAATATTTACGTGTCATTTTACTTTTGAAAATGCAGTATTGTTGTAGAAGAGAGTAACATATGTACAAGGGAAGAGAGAATTAGCTTATGCGTTTTGAAATCAAATGGAGAATGGTGTGCTACGAATAATGGAGTAAAAGAGTACATAAACATAAACATTTACTCTGGTCTAAAATTATTTTTTTATCATGTGTAATTTAGGTTTGGTTATAATTTATTATGTTGGCCTGAATTCACTATATTTTAGTTGATATAAAAGATGTGATTAATTGGACTTTAAGAATTATTCTTTTCATTTTCCTTGGACAATTGACACGATCTCTTACTGTACAAAAATATGAAAAATTAAACATGCACTTAAAAGTATTTGATATATATAATTTTCCATATTAAAGCGTTTTAATCATAACATTTTCGCTGCTATCAACACTAAAAATGTACATTACAACATTTGATATTTATAAATTTTTATTTTAGATCACTATACAGTCTACTTGAAAATATTAAAGAAGTAATGTATTTGCAATATTTTTATACTTTACTCAAACATTCATATTTTTTATGGTGAAAACATTTTCATAAAATTCATTCATACATCACGAGTTCTAAAGCATTCTCAAAATCAATTTCAAATCACAATCTAAAACGTATAGTTTCATACCCAAATTCATTTATCACAACTATGTTTTCATCTTTATTTTTTTTTCGTTTTAATTTATCAAATTATTTCTTAATAATACCTTAAATTAATGTCAGGTCTAAAGCTTGATTAAATAAAAATAAAATAAGTATTGAAATCACACACAAAAAGACTAAAGTAGCTGATTAAGTATATTGTAAGGAAATCAAAATTGCATTCATCCTTTAATTATTACTCTAACCCTAACTATATGGTCAAAGTCTATACTAGCTATATCCAAATATTGAAGATTTCAATTTGAGTATGATTAATTTAAGTACTATTTATTTTTAAGCATCAAAAGTCAAATTGCATTTAATTTTGGTTTTGTAAGCAAACTAAGGAAAAAAATGTCAAACAGTAATTTTTAACCAAGAGAAATGTATAAACTCTGTGATTTCACATCATACATAAACCCTTTTTCATTTAGCCATGAATGTAACCTTACCCATCTTGCTATAATCTAAGATAAACAAACCATTGCAATGAGCTAAGCAAAGCTCACTGAAAAAGAAAATTATCAGCAAAATAGACCAAAATGACAAGTAATGGTAAAAATGTACATGCAATCCATTCTCTTGAACATCATTGTACTCAGATTTAGGTATACACCATTGAATTTTCTTTGTATTTCTCATGCAACAAAAAGTTTACAAGCATCTAATTCTCACAGTTTATTCAATGGGAGGAGGACTTGACCACCTTCTCTTCACCTCTGATTTCCATCTCACCTCTTTAAGCTTTCCATCCAAACCATAGTCTCTCTCCATCACAAGATTGATCCCTTCATCTGAATACCAACCAACTCCAATGCAAAGAATGCCATCCTTGTTGATGTCAACATAGCATGTCACACCTCCAGGAAGCCACAGAATGGTCACATCCTGCATGTCAAGCCGCTCCTCTTCGCCGAAGTAGTTCGTGTTCTCAGGGAGGTTCCTCTTCTTCAGATTTTCTGTACAAAGGTACACATACGGTGTCTCCGTTCCTTCTTCGGCCATGCTCTCCTCGCCGTATACCGGAGTCGCACTGATCTCAAAGACTTTCCATGACCCTGTCAAATCTGATGGCTTGGTTCGTTTTCTTTGTGACAATGGCTTCACATCCAACTCCATATCACTGTTCCAAATGTAGCAGGTATTAGTCACTTTCTTGAAGACAAAGGAAATGTTGAACTGTCATGATCTGTTGTGATGAACTTCACAGTAAGTACTTGTAGGAACAGAAAATATGAAGGTAAAATGACTTAATCTTATTCCTTCAACTTTTACAGAAACTCTCTTTAACTTCTCCAGAAACTAATTTTAACTTATGCATAAGTTAATCTTATATATCAAAGAAACTTAATCCATTTATCTTTTTTTATGCCTTCTTTGATTTTCTTTTCATCTATATATAATGCAAGGATATTTACAGCTTATGATTTCTAGTTTCTTATCGATAGGCTGATTGGTAGACTAACAATTTGATTCTAAGTATACACAATAATAGAAGGAATAATAACATATTTCCAAGACTATGATTTATGTATTTTCTTGTTAACAAGAAGTGTCATACTCACAAACTTGTACACATGTAAACAAAGCACAAATACCTTAGGTCATCGATGGAAGCAGGACTGGACCATTCTTCTTCATACACTGCGACTCTCATTATCTGTATGTCAGAACCACCATTACTGAATTCTATGGTATGGACGATTCGGATTCTTTTGTGGCAGCCTTTAACCAAACACTGGAAAAGGTAAAATTGTGGCAAAATTAACAAATGCATGATCAGTGTTAATAGTAACTTAAATGAGGGAAATATCCACAAATATGATATCTTGTAGGAAGCATGCCAAACTTACTTGTTCAAACTTGAAAGTTGGTGAGATATAGTACTTTGTATCATTGGATTCACCCACTGGAATATCCATAGGACCTCGAGAATAAGAGCCATCCTGAAGTTTATAAATCATAGTAACAATGAAATACAAATGGACGAACATAAACAAACTATCATATGATTTAGGATAGTTCATTGATACACATGACTCTAGCAATATTAAACATTATATGGTAAATGTTTCAAAATAGTTGACATATATGTCAGCAAGACCAGACCAATTATTTCTCATCTAGTTTAATAATTTTGAATTGCACCAGAAAACCTAAAGCAACTACACAAAGTTGTCCACAACAGTTACTGTGAATGTAGTCCAATGAGTAATCTAGCTATAGCAAATGACCCAAATGGGAGGAATTGTGGAAAGAAAAAAGTGACAAATGTGAAATATGGACCATAATAGTTCACTGAGAAAAACTACAAAATAAATACTTCAAAAAGTTACGACATACATCAAATAATAACTCACTTTCCACTAATCAATTTATACTAGCATGAAAGGAATCTTACTTCAAAGTAAACAAGGCCTGGTTCACAGCCCATGACATCTTCTTCCATCACATCACCCCTTTTAAGGTCAAAGGATTCAAATGTAGGCAAAGTGCGATTTGTCACATTTTCTCCGGTTTTGTGCTTTCTGTCTTTGGTTACATTGATTCCTTTGGTATGCTGTTGTATTTCGCCATAAGGGTTCAAAGTCACCCAGTTAACCTTTCTCTGGATTTGAGACGTTCGATCACCTGAAACTGATGGTACTGCCTCTATACGGGAAAGAGTATAGCAGTCATATAGATTTTCATTCTTGCTACCTATTTCCATTGGTTCCATTTCAGCTGTTATGGGAGAGAACACAGCACCTACACCCTTCCATATTCCGCTGAGACTGCTAGCGAATGTATTCCAAACTGGTTTTATCACCGGTTCCTTAAAGATTGTCCACTCTGTCAGTGTAATGTTCATTGCAATTTGAAATAGAATCATGTCTACAGTTTAGCACAGATATAGAAAACATATACATACAATAAAGTATAAGGATAACAATAATAGAAGCAATTTTATTAATAAAATAATTGATGGAATTTACTCTCTCACAGATTCTTCCACCAAAAAGTTTTGAAATGGAAGAAACATCATATGAGCATTCCTTACTATCAAAACTCAATTATTCTGCTACACAGATAAACAGAAGTTCCAAGCAAAACTTTCTGACATGAAATTTGAACAAAACTAACCACTTATACCAAAAATAAATGAAAATACTAGACTTCACACAGCATCTAAAACCACTTTTGTTTCATCCAATTGGTGTGATTCATGTCCTGTTAATTATCGCCAGAAACACAGCTACCTTTATTACCATACATCACGTTAAATGATTCCTATTAATTCATTTGAATAAATTTACTTGTGTTCGCATATATCCTTTGGACACCATTCACCAAAATCACCCAAGGACCTTGATCTCGAGGACTTATTCATTACATTCAATTTAACCCTACTTAATCAATTTCTAGTCCACAGCTACAGCCTCACACAATGTCGCCATCTTCTATCAAAGTTAGAACAAACACACAATATAAAGGACTAGGAGTAGAGAAAATAATCTATACCTCATGGAAGCACAATAATACGAGTGTATTTAGTCGTAAGACACCGAATCATCAATTTTTTTATTGACCGAGAAGCCACAAGCATAAAATACCAACCACCATTCATGTTTCTATAATCATATACTAATTGTTTGTTCCTTTCATGTTAACATGAATCTCACCATTCATATACATTCATATACATTCATAGTTCATTCAACAATTCCAGCACAATTTCAGAAAAAAAAAAGTTTCATATTCATCCATGAACCTACACAATCCCAAATCACTACATCAATTCTCTTCCCTGGACAAAAAGCCAAAAACTTTGTGTCAGAAGTTCAAATTCAAAGAGACCCAACGAAGAAAACGAGTGCCTGAGACTGAAAAACATTCTCAACCTCCACGAATATAACATAGTTAACAAAATCTCAGAATTCATATGCATATACAGACCATTCACGAATTCAATCACAGTTTCAGAAAGAACAAAGGTCCCATTTTCATCGATAAACCTACCCAACTCCAACCCCCCACATCAATTCTCATCCCCAAACAAGCCAAAAGCTAACAACTTTACATCAATATTAGAAATTTAAAGAGACCCCAGATAAG